TCNTATGGTGTGTGTGTGTGTGTGTGTGTGTGTGTGTGTGTGTGTGTGTGTGTGTGTGTGTGTGTGTGTGTGTGTGTGTGTGTGTGTGTGTGTGTGTGTGTGTGCGTGCGTGCGTGTGTGCTTCCTGTCGTGAGTGTGAGGTTGGCGCGCCCAAAAATAACAACAACAACAACCATCAACGAGCTGGCAGTGCAACGGCCGTTGCTCGCTCGTTCTCTCGACTTTCTCCCCGTTCACGCCCCCCCCGCCCCCCTTCTCTCTCTCTTTTCCCAGCTCCGCCTCCCTGCTCACTTTTGCTCGTCGTGGGCGCTGTGCTGCCTTAGATCCCGCTTGAGCCAGTCCACTGCCAGAGCCCTCTCCTACCTCCTCCTTCCAGCTCCGAGGCCCCCTCCCTTGTGACTCTGGGGTTGCAAAGTTGCAAGAGCTTGGTGCTGCTGCCCCCTAGAGTCTCGAGTCTCTCCCTCCCCCCCGCGCGCCTCCAGCATGGGGGTGTTGGCCAAGCTCTTTGGTGGGGGCAAGGCCAAGCGCCGCGAAGAGCTCTTGGTCAACGTCACCACCAACATTGACCCCCACACGCTCTGGAAATCCATCGGTGAACTCGGTGAAGGTACCTTTGGCGTCGTCCGAAAAGTAAGCGCCCCTTCACTCCCACACACACACACACACACACGACTCGCATCGACTGCAGCAGCACGCGCGATTGATCCCATGCCGTCCGCACCCCTTGGACTTGTGTCCCCGCGCCCGTTTCATGCCCCACACCTTATGATCCATCCCTGTCCTTCTGCCTTGGCACACAGGTCAAACATCTTCATACGGGTGAGCTGGCAGCAGCCAAGGTCATTCCCATTGAAAGTGAGGAAGACCTGGAAGATTACATTGTCGAGGTTGACATTCTGGCAGAATGCAAACATGAGACCGTCGTCGGCCTCCGCGGCGCCTACCTGTGGCAAAACAACCTCTGGATCGTCCTCGAGCTTTGCGAAGGTGGCGCCCTTGATGACTCACTCATCGGTGCGTGCCCCTCCCTTCCCATTCTTTTCCGTCTGCTTTCGCTCTCGCTCTGCCCTCGTTCTTCTTCCCCCCTGTCGCTCGCCCGCCTGCCTTTCTCACGCAATGCTCTCTGGTCCAACTGACGTTG